AGAAAAAGCTAAGTATATAATCATATTTTTAGCTGTTTGTTGGTTTGTTTAGAGACAGGGTCTCACCCTGTCACCTAGGCTGGTGTGCAGTGACAATTAACTCCTGGGCTCAAATGATCCTCCCTTGTCAGCCTCCTGAGTAGCTGGGACTACAGGCATGCATGCCTGGCTCATTCTTAGCTTTTTAAAATTACATTTTTATACACACACACACACACACATATTTAAAGGCAAAGAATAATGGGATGTACATTTTAGAAATTTTGGAATATATGTAAAATTATAGAAAATGAAAACATCTATTATTTTTGCCATTCTGCGTGTACTTTTTTCTAGTACTTTTTAACATTTTTTTGTTTTGTTTTGTTTTTGTTTTTGAGACAGAGTCTCGCTCTGTCGCCCAGGCTGGCATGCAGTGGCATGCCATCTCGGCTCACTGCAACTTCCACCTCCCCAGGGTTCAAGCAATTCTCCTGCCTCAGCCTCCTGAGTAGCTGGGATTACAGGCACCTGCCACTGTGCCCACTAATTTTTGTGTGTTTAGTAGAGATGGGGTTTCACCATCTTGGCCAGGCTGGTCTTGGACTCCCTACCTCATGATCCACCCGACTTGACCTCCCAAAAGTGCTGGTATTATAGGTGTGAGTCACTGCGCCCGGCCTTTCACATGTTTTTTTTAAATTTTTTTTTTCTTTCTGAATTTGGATAGTATTTACAGTTTTATAACTTATCTTTTCAGTTAAAATTATACTGATTGAACTTTCACATATTATTAAATATTCTTTGAAAATAAATACTTTTTTGAAAATCTGTCTGAAGTTTATTTCAGGATGGACCTAATTGCTCCCGATTTATCTCCAAGCCAGCGATTAAACAATCTGGTCTTCCTAGGTTGGTTCGTGGTGGCTGCGTTAGCTTTCTAGCACATTGCATCTTTAATAGGCTCTTCTTTCTCTTTTTTTTCCTGAGTCCTGGAGGCTTCCTGGGTTGAGACCCAGCCTAGCTTTGCAGAAGCACCTTTCCATCTTGTTAATGTTTAACCCTGCCCCTGCCGGAAAACAGCTCTCACCTCATCTCTCGCTCTTATTTTTTGCCTTTGCTGATGATTTTTTATCATCCTGAGCACAACGGGCCTTGGCCTCCAGACCCAATAAATCTTCCATCGCATGGAGAAGAGTACTAATTTCTGAGGACCTGGAGGGCCTGTAGCTCCTGGGGGATTTGCGAGAAGAGGTAAGGAACGCACAGAGGCATGGGCTAGCAAAGGGGTACATTCTTGAGTCAAAACTGGTGTGGCCGACCTGCTGGCAAAGAATCTCGGGATCTCAGTATCTGGCTACAGCTTTGCTGTTTTCTTTTTGCATATATATTTTTGGTTCTCTTTAACTGCTGATTCAGTTTGGTTTTGGTTGGGGGGGAGGTATAGATAAATGGCTTGTTCATTTCTATAAACTATAAGGTTGAAGTTATTCTGTATTTCAGTCAACCATTTTGAGTACCTACTACATGCCAAGAATGTAACTGGTACTAAGTATGCCGTGATGAGTGGGTCAGGACAGCATTTCCTTACTTTGAGCATTCATTTCTGCCAGTTCAGTGTTGGCCGGCTCTTTGTAGGTGATAATGCAGGTTGTTGTGTTCTTCTTCTAGAAGCGTCATGGTGACTGTAAAGATTCTCTGATACAATTGCATCAGCTCAATAACCTTTTATTGAGTGGTCACTCTGGTCCAGGCACTGTGCTGGGTACCAGGGTTTCAGAAATGGTGTCGGAAGGAGTTTTCCTTTAGCAGCAGCCAGGCATGAAAAGCAAGCACTACAAAGCACTGGTTGGCAGCAATGGAGGGCAGGGATAGTGTGGAAGGGGAGATGGCCTCCACTCACCTTCAGAAGCAGAAAGGTGATGCTGTCAGAACTGATAAGCACATGGACAAGGAGAGAAAATGCAGCAGTACAGACACCTGGAGGCTTAAGAACACAGTCTGGTGTGAGCGGAAAATTCAGAGCTTGGTATGTATTTCTAAAACATTTGTAGGGAAAAGTTTGCTATTCTTTTCCCTCGGTTGCGCCATTTAGAGAAAGCTTCTTTGGCCTCTGCCTTCTTCAAACAACTTGAGAGATGAGAAAGGGTCTTGTAGCTCTAAGTGCCTGTGTCCAGAAACTCTAGCCACCTGGTGGACTTGGAGCCTTCACAAGGGCGATGTCAAGGGACCACATGAGCCCTGATGTGAGATTTCAGATGAGTGCCCTGAGGCCGTGACAGGGTGCAGGCTGTGAAGGCCGAGGCCATCTGATGGTTGCAGGATTGTTGTTGTACCCAGCTGTTTGGAGGAACTCTTCCTTTCTGGGAAACCACACCTTGGAAAGTAGGTACTGGGCTGCTGCTCCTTGAGCCTCCACTCCTGAGGCAGTGAATCAGGCCCTTCCTGCCATCTCCTTTCATTCAGATATATCAAAGCAAAGTTCCAAGTTCACTATTTCCAAATCACTTAAGCAACTTTGAAAATTATTTGTATTTTCAAACCTTAGCATATTCAGCTATAAATGGAGCTCATAAAATCTGCTGTGCTTATCTCACAGGAGTATAGCGCGTCTGTAAAAACTTATTAATACGAAAAGTCCCAGTGAGTTGTAACACGGCGCACAGCTGGGTTGGCAGGTGCAGGACTGATGGCGAACGTGGCTTGTCTGCGACTGTCTGACAGATCAAGTTGCCTCTCTAGTGACCTTGAGTCCCACTTGGTCACACTGACATCTCACTGCGCTTTATCACAGATGCATGTCCTTGGGTGGAAAGAGGATGAACTTTTAGAGTTAGACAGACCTGGGCTGGCATTCTGGTTCTGGAACTGACTTGCTATTGACACTGGAGAAACCCTATAATCTTGCCAAGCCTCAATTTTTAATCTCCTAAAATAGGGCTGTCAATATCTCTATCATAGTGTTGTTGTAAGGTTCAATAAGATATTTCAAGGAAAGTGACTACCATGTAGTAGGCCCTCCCTAATTTCGACCTTCCTTCTTCTCTTTAATTCCTCTTCAGCTGTCGTAATGGTCACGTGATTAGCTGTGTTAGGTGTCTGCAGAAATTGAATTCCTTAGTTTCTGGTAATACAACAAGCTTTCCACCCTTGACTTCATGATCTTATATCTGAATTCTTCTTCCTTTGTGTACATTTAATCATTTATACAACTTCAGCAGCCCAAGGTAGAAGCCCGTCGTTCCCAGAGCCACTGGTTCCTGAGGTCTGGGCTGGTGGAAGTGCTGCTTTGTTTGGTACTGCCAATGGATTCCAGGAATGAGCTGGATGTCAGTTCATGAAGGAGTTCCTAGGGAAGACCCTGGAGCTCAAGTCTGCTGAGTCGTGGCTGTGGCTTCATGCTGTCGTCTTTGCTGTCCTCCATCACCTCCACAAGGTCCCCATGCTGAGCAGCTGCTTTCCTCTCTCTGTTCAGAATGCCGCCTGTGCCTTTTTGCTTACCTAGTCCAAATCCAATTAACGACATCCCCTTGTTTGGTCCTCCTAACACTGTAAATCACACAAGGCAGAGATAATTATTCTAAAAAACTCAGGGGCAGAAATATTAGCTGACCTGCCCAAGATCACCAAGAATGGGGGTGAGAAGCCAGGTTTCATGAATACCCTATCCAGCAATCCCACTACCTTATACTGATATCCTTAGGAGCAGGATCCATGGGAAGGGACCTCAGTCCCTGGTGGGTTAGCAAAACCCCTGAGGTGACTGCTTTGATATGTTATTATAAATAAACCCTGTGACTGGGGAAAGAATGTAATGTTTTCCAAAAGATACAGACATTGTTTGAGTTCAAAGTGCTTCCAGTTTCCATTCAGTTACACAATAAATTCTGAGAAAACAAAGTAGGTGTTTACCCAGAAATAAAGAGGCCTATCCAGTCTCTATTTGCTCAATGAAATCCGTTGTCCAGAACTTTTTGCAGTTCTGTACATGTTGTAGGGGAAAGGACATGGGTTGTGGAGTCAAGTACGTTTGGATGTGAATCTCAGGGCAACCATTTTCTCGGCTCTGTGACCTTGGGCACTTACCTCTGAGAGCCTCAGGTTGCTAATCCATGAAATGCAGATTATAATACCTTTGAAATGAACCCTGCATGGGTTAGGAGATGCCCTTCATATTAGACTATGATATACGTGGTGCCCCTGGAGTTGCGTCTCATGGTGGCCCTGGTTATGCTGAAGTTAAGTGAAATAACATCTAGCATCCTTAATGAATCTTTGTATTCATTTCCTTAGTTGGCTACATGTCTGCTCTCCTACCTGTATTTCCTAACCTCTATCGCGAGGTGAGTCAGCTTCCTGTCTCAGTGGCGCTCTTCTTGCAGGGCAGTGCATGGAACTGAATATTTTGTGGTGGAGCTAAGCCTTGATATTCTCACGCAGGAGTCCAACATCACAGCCCTTAGGGAGATGCATCAGAAATCTATGGCATCGTCTACAACGAGAAGTCTTTTTTCTGGCTATGTTGAAAGGGTGTTGGGCCACTTAATATTTTAGAAAGTTTAGGTTTGGTAATGTAAAACAGTCAGCCTGCTCTTTTTTTCCCCAAACGTGCACGGTTTCCTTTAACATATAAGGACCTAGCAACCGAATGATTTGCAAGGTGTGGTTTGCAAGGTGTGGTTTCTGACTTCAAGAAACTCAGAGTGCAGTCAGGGAGGTAGACCAAGGCAACCAGAAACGAAGATTCAGTATAGAAAAAGTAACGGTGGGGGGACATATAAAGCATTCATGGCTAAAGAGGAAGAAGGGAGTGTCTGAGGGACTGCTGTCTGCATTCAAACTCAAACTGAGGCCGACTTTTGTCGAGAGTTGCCAAACAGCTTGCATAGGTGGATAGGAGGTAGATCAGGGCTGGAATTCACCTGACTTGAAATCGATTGCTCAGCCCATCGCTCCACCTCATGCCACGTTGGGTTTTTCTTTACATCATTTTGTTTTTTCCCTTGTTTCACTTTTTTTAGGCTTGTTTTCCTGCTTGGAACAAAGTGGCTTCCCTGAACACATCTTCATTATGATTCACACCAACTTGAAGAAAAAGTTCAGCTGCTGTGTCCTGGTCTTTCTTCTGTTTGCTATCATCTGTGTGTGGAAGGAAAAGAAGAAAGGGAGTTACTATGATTCCCTTAAATTGCAAACCAAGGAAATCCAGGTGCTGAAGAGTCTGGGGAAATTGGCCATGAGGTCTGATTCCCAGTCTGTATCCTCAAGCAGCACCCAGGACCCCCACAGGGGCAGTCAGACCCTTGGCAGTTTCAGAGGCCCAGCCAAGGCCAAACCAGAGGCCTCCTTCCAGGTGTGGAACAAGGACAGCTCTTCCAAAAACCTTATCCCTAGGCTGCAAAAGATCTGGAGGAATTACCTAAACATGAACAAGTACAGAGTGTCCTACAAGGGGCCAGGACCTGGCATCAAGTTCAGTGCAGAGGACCTGCTCTGCCACCTCCGGGACCACGTGAACGTATCCATGGTAGAGGCCACAGATTTTCCCTTCAATACCTCTGAATGGGAGGGTTACCTGCCCAAGGAGAGCATTAGGACCAAGGCTGGGCCTTGGGGCAGGTGTGCTGTTGTCTCATCAGCAGGATCTCTGAAGTCCTCCCAACTAGGCAGAGAAATAGGTATGTTCTAGGGTGTTAAGGTTGTTCTGTGAATGGCAGTACTGATTGGGACTGGCTGGGCATATTGATGGTATTAGAGACAAGTGGCCCAAGTCTGGCTCAGTGGACCAGTGAAGTGGGCCCAGGGCTGTGTCTCTTTCAGAGTCACAGTGACACAGTGGGAGTTGAACAGATGATGCTCTATGCCCTGGCATCTTTATCAATTAGAAGAGCTTCATTATTGTTTCCTGCTATTTTTAGTTGATATATATAATTATATGTATTTATAGGGATACTTTGATACATGTATTCGATGTATAATGATCCAATCAGGGTAATTAGAATATCTATCACCTCAAACACTTATTGTTTCTTTGTGTTGGGAACAGAATAGTTTTATTTTGATCTGTTTTAAATTTTGGGATTCTGCAGAAGATTTCATTTGAATAGAGAGTTCTGCCACTACCAATAATCAAAATCCTACAATTGACCTTTGAAAAGTTCTGAAGCATAGACCCCTACATATTTCCATGTTCTGAAATTCTGTTGTTTTACCTGATTAATGCAGAACTGTTTTGGCCTCAGCTACCCAGGTAATTTTCAGCTTTTCTCTTTGAAAAGATTTAATTCTGTCAGTAATTCTTAACTGAGGGCTATGGACCAACTTCAGAGGGTCATGAATCCTTGCAATTGCATGCAAAATATCTGTGGATTTGGTGTGCATAATGTGTGTGTATGTGTATAAGTGTGTCAGTGCATTTTTCCACGAAGGGAGTTTGTAGATTGAAGTTTATTCTCCAAGGGATCTGTGACCCAGTTTCAGAATCACTGGTCACAATATATTAATTTGCTTTTCTTGAAAACCTTTGTAGTGAATCGAGATAGAAACTCTCTCCATATTTGTAAATCTGTGTAACAGGGAGCCTTATTTCTCTTATGCTGAATGTGTTTTCCATTATTTTGAAATGAATCAGCTAAAGAAAGCAAAGCACAGGAAGCTTTGCTCCTCCGTCAGGCTGGAGGTACTGGAGCAGGTGAGGTCATACGTCTCCGTTTTTATTTCCTTCAGTTGACTGCCAGGAAAAATGGTCTAAAACCAAGCACAGGGCTCTCAAAGAAGAAAAGTAGGCCCAAATTGGATTCTCTAGAGCAGAAAGAAATGGTGAGATCACAGTTTCTACCTCCCCAAATAGGCAGTACTAACTCATAAAAGCCACCCTGCTGGCCAGCCCCACCCCAAGTTTTGCTTCTGCCTTTTTGGTTTTTCTTGAACTTTGTTGTCAAGAAACTAAATGTGATTGGTTTTTGTTCATCCATAATGGAACTAAATTTCTTTCTTTCTTCTCCATTTTTGCTGCATAAAAGTAATGTTTGGGGTATCTTAGGTATTAGCTGATCCTTCTTCTGCATGTCAAGTTAATATTACCTGCCTGGTTGAAATTGTACTGAAGTTTGAGACAGGGCCTGATACCTCTGTGAATTGGAACTGCAGCTTTAATTTTATGCACTCCTTAAAGGTTTGGAGTGATTTAAGTAAACATTAATAAAAATACTATTTTTCTATAGACCGCAGTTTCAACTTCAAAATAAGGATTTCCACGGAAGGACTTTGATCCCGAGATGCAATAAAAATTGCATGTTAGACTTCAAATATTCTGCTGTTATAGGGTATATATCCTCTTGGCATTTTGTCTAACAAATGTTTTAAGACATTCATTCATGTATTCTTTTATTTATTCATGGATTCATCAACAATACAAAATAAGAGCTTAGAACACTAAGGGGAAGGGGAAGGGAAAGGCCCTTCGTTGAAGCCTCTTTGAGTTGCAGGCAGCATGCCAGGCCCTTACACTTCCTACTGCATGCGGGATTTGTTGAGTCTATTCCCAACTGTTGAATGGATCAGATTATTTCAAATGATTTGCTTTTACAAATAACATTGCTAACAAGGGTTTTCTGCAGATACCTTAGGTGACCACTATTGACATTCAACAGGGAAATATCCCCAGAAGTGAGGCTAGAAGACATGAGTAAGAGACATTTTATGACTTTTTTTTGTCCATAGCAAGATTTTTTATCAGAGAGAGTGTAATAACATACTCTGCCTCTAGCAGTCTCACAAACCAGCCAGTGGCGGGCTCAGTCATTTTCAATGATTTCTGATAGTTTACTCATACATGTTAAGTAGCTTAGATTTGCTGGAATTTTCATGTCAAACAGTAGCATAATTGTAAAACACTGTCATCCATAGAAGTGATGCTTATCGCACATCTGCTGTGCTCCTAACATGCTTTGCTCTTTTAATGTTCCCAGAAATCCTGGGAGGTTGGTAAGATATTGGTCTCATTTTGCTGGAGAGCTAAATGTGGAGGCTTCAGTGGTTATGCAACTGGCTAATAGCAGACTGGGGTTTGAAAGCAGAGGGCTTGCTTCAAAGACCCCGCTCTTCGTCCCTCTGCTGTTGTGCCTCATAATAACTGTAGCTTCATAATAAAATTTGGTGTGATTATTCATTTGTTATGCTAAAATGTTTCTTATATTCTTATCTATTAGCTTTCCTAAAGAAAGAGAAGGGTCTTGTGAGTTAAGGCAAAAGCAAGAAGCAAGGAGAATTGCTTTGTTCATTCAACAAATACTGATTGAACCCTTCTCATGCCTGGAGATCCTTTGGGTCTCAGCTGTGTCTTTCTCTTGACTGAAGTTCTCAGATTCTGCCGGGAGGCCCTCCCAGGTTTGGTTCTGCTCTCTCCCTTTTTCTTTCAGGACTATGAGATCCAAGGGAAGGAGCAGAGCAAGGTTGGAATATTGACTCCCTCAGGCTCATTCTTGCTGGCTGGAGGTTGGCAATAGCTGTGTTCCTCTCCTAAAGGCAACAGCTCCCGACAGGCATCCCTCCTCAGCTCAGGGTCTCTGCTCATCATCCCGCAGTAGACCTGGGGTAGTCCTGACTCGCTGTGGTCATCATCCCTGGGGGCTTTAGCCTATTCCATGTTGATTTCTTTAGACTGTACCTCAAGTTGGTAAATAGTCCTTTTATGAATCTCTCAGTTACTCCATTTGAGCTTCTCATCTCTTTTCTACTGGGATTCTCACAAGTAATTTATTCATCTGTGAAATGGGAAAGCTAAGTGAAGTTTCTGATGGACCTGTGTTTCTCATACAATTACCACTAATTCCTGTCAAACCAGTGACTGATTCTGACAAAATGTCTTGCAATTCTGAGTTGTGTAAAGATATATCTCCTGCCCCAAGTGCACTTCAGTGTACCTGCCCTTTGAGATGATAACAGTTTGGACTATGTACTTTTCAGGTAATTTTCAAACCATTTTGATGAAATTTTGCCCTATGAGTGAGGATAGGGTGGTAGTGTTTTCATGAATGAGATTTCTGCATTCCTGAGGTTTAGTACATACATTGGAACTGAAATAGAGAGGATTTCATCCTTAATTCTGTGGACATCCTCTTTCTTTTCTTTCTTTCTTTTTCTTTTTTTTCCCTGAGATGGAATTTTGCTCTGTTGCCCAGGCTAGAGTGCAGTGGTGCAATCTTGGCTTACTGCAACCTCCACCTCCTGGGTTCAAGCAATTCTTCTGCCTCAGGCTCCCGAGTAGCTGGGACTACAGGTGCACGCCACCATGCCTGGCTAAGTTTTGTATTTTTAGTAGAGATGAGGTTTCACCATGTTGGCCAGGCTGGTCTTGAACTCCTGACCTTGTGATTCACCTGCTTTGGCATCACAAAATGCTGGGATTACAGGCGATGAGCCACCGTGCCCGGCCTGTACAGCCTCTTTCTAAATCATCTTATACTGAGCCAAATGCCCTCACTTCCCCAAATCCTATCTATGTGGAAAAAGAATGACCCCAAACAACCCAAATAGAACAACAGAGGATTCAGATGACCCCCAGATCCAGTACAGATTTCAGTGATGAGCCCCACATTTGCTTGGCCAGGTAAGATTGAAAGAAGCTGTCATAGGATCATAGGGTTGGGATGGCTCCTTAAAGTCTTCAGTTCTCTCCTCCACCAATTTGGCCAGTGTTGGATAGAGAAGCTTTTCCAAGTCTTCCAAACATGGCTTAGACAGTTGCAAAGACAAGGAGCCAGAGCCCAGGAAGCTTTTAGGGTTTTCAAGGTGGTCTGTTTGATTTTGACTGGATTTAGAACATTGTTTCTGACTATGGCAGAAAGAAAGAAAGAGAGAGAGAGAAAAAAAAAAAAAAAAAAAAAGAAAGAAATTCAGTTTAGCTCTGTGACCTCCTCTTCCATTTCTGCCACACTAGGTCTTGTGACTCTTCCCTGGACCTAAATGGAACACCTGGGGGTTGTCTTGGATGCCATAGTTAAATACTGCCCATTTGCTGAGCACTGCATGCTTTTCAGAGTGCAATGGGGTCCTTTGCACTTGTGGGAAACACTGAACATATGGTAATATTTTCACTTTTCTGACAGAGATAGAAATAAAATCTACTGATGATACCAAGAGAATATTTGGTTTGTTGCTTTGATAACTGGAGTAGCTATTCCACATAAATAGCACACTGGCTTTGTTCACGTTTCTGCTGTGCCAAGGTACAAATGAGTGTCTTCAAATGGGTTTTAGGAATGCCACAGTATGGATCCCTTCAGCCCTTATGGTGGCTGGCAGGCAGGTGGTCATCTCTGCTTAGGAGCTTTACCTGAGCACCACATAAATACTGCCATTTCTCCCTGTGGATCATGATGGGGTAAAGATTGGGAAGCATTATTCCCGTGCTCCCTCCCCCACCTCCTGCCTTTTTCTTTTTCTACATATTGCCAGTGCTCAACACCTCTTTTCTGTTTCTTTATGGTTTATAGATGATCATGAGGCAGTCCTGAGGTTTAATGGGGCACCCACAGCCAACTTCCAACAAGATGTGGGCACAAAAACTACCATTCGTCTGATGAACTCACAGGTAAAATTTCTTCTGTGCAGATGTGGTGTAAGAGAAGGACCACAGTGTGAGCTCTAATGTAAAATGTATCTACTAGGAGCACATCTAAGCAGCCAATTAAGTCTCTTGATCTTCCTGAGTTCCTGATTCCTCACTGGAGAAGAAGAAGGCAGTGATTCCATGACCCAACCTGATGATGTATTTATTTAATTTATTATTATTATTTTTTCTGAGACAGATTCTTGCTCTGTCACCCAGGCTGGAGTGCAGTGGTGCAATTTCAGCTCACTGCAACCTCTGCCTCCCAGGTTCAAGTAATTCTACTGTCTCAGCCTCCTGAGTAGCTAGGGTTACAGGCGTGCGCCACCATTCTCAGCTAATTTTTGTATTTTTAGTAGATGGCGTTTCACCATGTTGGCCAGGCTGGTCTCGAACTCCTGACCTCATGATCCACTTGCCTCAGTCTCCCAAAGTGCTGGGATTACAGGTGTGAGCCACCGCGCCCTGCTGCTTTATATATATATATATATATGTGTGTGTATATATATATATCTATATATATATGTGTGTGTGTATATATATATATATATATATATATATATATATATATATTTTAAAAACTCTTTCATATCAGTCTTTGCTGATGAAGGTATCTGGTGCTCAGGAATATAGAGTTCAGCTGTTCCTGCTGCTGCAAGTTCCTATGTGGAGGCTTGTATGAGGGACAGCAGAGCCCAGAACACCTGGGGGAGAGCGGGAAGTGTTGTAAAAAGTGAATGAAGCAATGCACATGAGAGAACTTTATGAACTGTCAAATGCTACACAACTACTATAAGACATTGTCACCATATGATTATGTGCAATATGGCACTAGATTTCATGTATTATTTCATAAATTCCCCTGGATGAATAGGTTCCTGAATTATTTTCAGGCAGCACATGCTGATTTCTCAATACTAATGGCAACTTGAGAGATAGTCTTGCCACAGGATTCTGTTAACAGATTGTATTAGTGGGAAAAACTGTATTACACATATATCAAAAATTGCACAATAGGGCTGCAACCTACTCATCTCACAACCACCAACGTTTGCCTTTTTCTGAATAAACATATGTGCTCTGGGTGTTTTTACAATAGTGTTTAGTCTGCACACTTCCCTAGGAGTTGTGGGCATGGGGTGGATCCTGGAACAGATCAGAAATACCTTCTCAGCAGTGTCCAGTGGAATGTGTGTTTCTTTCCTTCTCTAGGAGGGCTCCACTTCCCTGTTTCTGTCTCTTCACTTCCTTACTTTCAGGAACTCGCCAGCTAGGCAGAAGCTGCTTCCTGCATAGCCCACTGTCCATTTGAAGCCCACAACCTTAAGAATATTTTTATAATGGGATAGAAATTGAGGAACTTAACTTCTTTGTAAGTGGTCGCCATCTTGTTTTTTTGTTCTCCCTCTAATACCTTTTAATTTTATTTTTTATTTTTTTAAGATGGGGTTTCACCATGATGGCCAGGCTGGTCTTGAACTCCTGACTTCAGGTGATCCACCCACCTTAGCCTCCCAAAGTGCTAGGAAGTGAATCACTTTCTATCACTGTCATGTCACATCTTCCAGTAGCCTCTAGGTGCTTCCAATACCTGTTTGTTGTTCAAACTTATATTTTGGGTTTTGGTATTACTTTTATTATTATTGAGATGAAGTTTTGCTCTGTTACCCAGGCTGGAGTACAGTGGTGTGATCTCAGCTCACTGCAACCTCTGCCTCCTGGATTCAAGTGATCTTCCTGCCTCACCCTCCTGAGTAGCTGGGATTATAGACATGCACTAGAATACCCAGCTAATTTTTGTATTTTTAGTGGAGATGGGGTTTCACTGTGTTGGCTTGGCTGGTCTTGAACTCCTGACCTCACGTAACCACCAGCCTCAGCTTCCTTACAGGCGTGAGCCATCATGCCTGGCCTACTTCTATTATTAGAAGAGATAGGATTGAAAGGAATGGACGGGGTAGCAAGAAGCCCTCTGGGGTAAATGACACACTTACGCTAGACTTTGAAAGATGGGCAGGACTTGGGGAAATGGCAATAGAGGGGCATTCCAGAAAGTGGAACTGGCAAGACAGGGATGCATAGGAAATGAGGGAGACATTCAAATACCCCTGGCTAAGTTGGAGGTGGAGGTGTGGAAGGAGTGGCTGGTGTTGCCCTTTAGAGAGATGAGGCTGGACCTTCATGTCTGCTTGTGCTCTGGCAAGTTTGGAAATTCAGGCAGAGGGTTAGGACCAGCTTTGCCCCTTTCCCTTCTCATGCCTAGTCAGAAATCCTGGAGCTGGAGAGCACTTTAGGGAGCACTAAAACCTCATCTCTACTTCTAGATAAGATCTACCTGAATATCCAGGAGAGATGTTTATTTACTCTTGATTCATTCATTCATTCATTCATTCATTCATTCATTCATCCATCCATTCAACAAATATGTTCAGTATTGAGTAGAGTGTGGCAGTCAGTACATAAACTCTATAGTTAGCCTGCTTGGGGTTGAAATCCAGCTCTGTCTCTTACTAGCCGAAGGATCATCAAGTTACTTCTCTCTAAAGAGGGGAGAATAATTCCCTTTCCTTACAGGGTTGTTGTGAGGTGTAAATGAGAAAAATCTGTGCAAAGCACTCAGAACAATAGCCGGCACATATATCAATAAACGTTAACTGCACTTACTATTGATATTTGCAGACACTGAACTGGTAGTGGACGATACAGTTGTAAGCAAGACAGACTCAGCCCCTGTTCTTATGATGCAATCAAATAGTTTTACAAATAAAGTTGCAACAGAGAACTAGAGAAGAGATGGTCAAGGTTCTAGGAGAGCCCCGAAAGGGGAGACCTGAGCTATTCAGGAAGGTTGGAATCCCTAAGCAGATGGTACTTGGCTGTGTAGAAGGAATGTGTAGATGTTGAAACGGGTGGGATAAGAGCTTTTCAGGAAGAGGCAAGAGCATAGACCCCAAATTCCACAATAAGAGTTTGTGTGGAAGGAAATGGGGGACTGGAAGGACTCAGGAACAGGTGAGTATATGTGGAGCTGTGTGGTGAGAGACAAGGCTAAAAGTAAGAAGGAGTCAAGCTGTGGTCCTGCACTGAGGCATCTTCTTTACGGCAGTATTGGATTTGCATTTTGTAACCATCACTGGCTTCCGTCTGATCAGAGGGGCTTCAGTAGACGAAGAGACATAGTTAGGAGGGTCTTGCAGCAGTCTGGGCTAGATATGCTGGTAGCTTGCACAAGAGGAGGGGTGAAGGTGAATGTGAGAAAAGAATGTCTTTAAGGGCTACTTGGGATTTGCAGTCAACCGTTTTTAATGTCGCATTGGATGTGAGAAGTAAAGGGAGAGGGGCCAGAGGTACAGCTCGGTTTCTTTCTTGTGTAACTGCAGCAAGAAGTCACTGAAATTGTAAGTCAGCCCGTTATCCATGGTTTCTCTTTCTGCAGTTTCATTTACCTGTGGTCAGCTGCAGTCCAAAAATATTAAATGAAAAATTCCAGAAATAAGCAATTCAGAAGTTTAAAATGACACATTGTTCTGAGTAGCGGGATGAAAGCTTATGCATCTTACTTTGACCCTTTTTCATCACAGGAAGAAGGATGAGTACAGCAAAATAAAATATTGTGAGAGAGAAGAGAGAACACATTCACATAACTTTTATTACAGTCTATTATAATTGTTCTATTTTATTATTAGTTCCTGTTGTGAATCTCTTACTGTGCCTAATTTGTAAATTAAACTGTATCATGGGAATGTATGTATGTATAGTAAGAAACATAGTATATGTAAGGTTTGGTACTATCTGTAATTGCAGGTATCCACTGGGGCCTTAGAACATATTCCCGGTGGATAAGGGTGGGGACAAGTGTACTTGAAGATGTTTTGGGTGATGAGGGCTAGGTTCGGGGGGAGGGTAGAGGTTAAAAATATAGGTCTACATAAGGTCAGTGTGCATTGCCTTTTAGATATCTGTGAAGAGATGTCAAAGAGGCATTTGTACCAATGAGGCTGGAGTTTAATGAAAAGGTCTGGGCTGGAGATGAGAGTTTGTGAATTGTCTTTATCTAGGTGGCAGTGAATCAATGGGACTGAATGAGAGCACTAGAGAGAGAAAGAGTATGGAGAGAGGAGGGAAGGCTTATCCAGGAGCTGTGGATAACAAAAACAGAGAGAAGGAGGCAGTGGTCGTGTCATCAGTTACAACTGAGGGGTGAATTTAGGTGAAGATTGAAATGCATGATGAACTCAAAATATCTGAAACAGATCTGAACCAATTTAGAACATTTATTTTGCCATGGGTAAGGATGCAGCCTCAGGTCTGACATGTGCCCAGGGTGGGCGGGGTACAGCTTGCTTTTACACATTTTAGGGAGACATGAGGTATCCATCAGTATATGTAAGATATACATTGGTTCGGTCTGGCAAGGTGGGACAGCTTCAGGTGGGGGGTGGGCGGCTTCCAGGTCATTGGTAGATAAGAGACAAAAGGTTGCATTCTTTTGAGTCCTTGATCGGCACAATTTCTTCTGGCTCAGTGAATCTGCATTTTTACATAAACAATAGGGCAGAGGAAGCAATCAGATATGTATTTGTCTCAGGTCAGCAGAGAAATGATTTTTCTGTCCCACACCTGCGAAGATAAGCTATCGGTTTACATTGTCAGGGTGAAATTCCACAGAACTGTTCTGGGGTCAAGATCTTGAGGCCCACAAGGAATTTCTTTGTGGACAAATTGGTAGGAAGGTGTGTGCTTCTTTTATCTTTTTAGCTATCTTACTTAGGAATAAAATGGGAGGCACGTTTGACTTTCTGTTTTTGATTCCTAGCTTGACTTTTCCGTTGGCTTAGTGATTTGGGGGTCCTGAGATTTCTTTTGCTTGCACTGCATCTGCTCTCTTGCAAAATGCAAGGCCGCTGGTGACCTTAGCAAAACTGTTTGGGGAGAGTGATGAAACAGATTGAAGTGTATAAGGGAGGGAGTGGGAGGAGTGA